GGGGCAAAAGAAAAGGAACGCAATGGTTTTTCCGCCTGAATAGCCACGGCCAGTTAGAAAACTACATGACTAAAGCCCATAAGACGAATGCCCACTTAAAACAGCACACATTTCAGGAATACAAATAACTATGACTTCCTGAAAATTTACGAGTAATATTGATTAAAAGAATGAAATTTCAAGTGGGAATGAAATTATTTATGTAAAATCCAAGTTGTCAAATTTACTAATATTTGAAACCTGGCTTTTATTCACCATAAAAACTGTGGCGCTTAATCATATAGAATACTGTACTTTTATTTTTTTCGTTAAATGAAAGTTCGGCTTTAATTCTCCATATTAAATTCATTAATGCAAAATTTTCTGCAGTGTTAAATTATTCATAATTATTCTCTGCATATGATGAAAATTTACATACATTTTAACCCTTAATTTTGTAGAATTAAAAGAAGCAGTGTGGCCAGTATTCCCTTTCACCCTCCCTTTGTCACACTTGTACAAAGGCACTTCCATTTCTTGCGTAAATATAAAATAAAGTTACACATGTATATGTTTTTAATTATATTATTTGATTGATTCTCTTTATATATATAGGATTTAATTCAGCACAAATGAAATGTGTTCCGCTACTTAATTATTGTTCAAATTTTTTTATTTAATTTATTTTTTTTTTTATCTTATTCATGAATCTGCTTTGTGAAGCTGAAGAAAAAAAGGGAAAATTTTAACGTAGCATATATATCGGTGTGGGCTTTTATCAATGTGGGCTTTTATCTGTGTGGGCTTTCATCAATGTGTGCATCAATGTGTGGGTATTAGTCGCGTGAGCAATTATCGCAGTGGTGTCTTTTTTTCGTGGGCTTTTGTCGCGTGCGCTTTCGTCCAGTGGGCTTTTGTCTGGCCACCGTAGAGTGCAATGAAGGAAACCACTGGCGGTATATTCTTAAGAGCCACCGCTAGCTCAATAAATAAAGGTGATTTAAATAATAAAATGTTAATTAACATGTCAAAGATCTCTTTGTACACTTCATTTCTTGTGTAGATCTTTCCATCCTTTTTAAACTCGCCTTGCAGAGGACCTCAATTATTTTTTAATTTACGTCCGTTCTTTCACGAACTCTTGAACAGACAACATAAAGTTGACCGTGTCCAATTGCAGGCTCAGTTAAAAAAAATGCCAGTACGCTTAAGCCTTTGGCTCTGAGACTTATGGATGGTCATAGCAAAGCAAGTTTTACAGGATATTGTCTGTGTCTCAATTGAAACAGCAACAACTTCACCCCATTGGCTAGTACAGTTACGCAAGCCACCAATAAACTATCGGCGAGAAACAGACCTTAAGCCGCATGAAGATATTTATTATTTCATTTTTTGTTTTTTCATCGTTGCTGGTTTTTTCCGGTTGCATTTCCGAAGTCTATTATTATAGATTAAATTTATTTATTAAATGTTAAATGCACGTTCTTGTTTTTAATTTTCCGACTTTCTCATAATATTCGTCAGCGTGCTGCACGGGAATAAAACAACTTCGTACGCAGAAACCAAATAAACATGGCGACAACACTTAAGCCGCATAGGTATAAGATATCAGGGTTTCTTAAATTTTTTTCAGTCGCGACCCCTTTTTATCACTGAGATTTTTTCGCGACCCCTAGCACCCCATAAAGGGCCATTCACACTGGGGTTTATCTGAGCTAACGGAGTCAGTTCCATATGTTGACTAGCTCCGCTATGCTTGCAGTTCAAATTTTTCAACTTGCTGCCCTGTGGGGAAAAATTGGTTTTGGAAATGGGTCAGCTACTTCAGCTGTGTCCGTTTGCTCAGATAAACTCCAGTGTGAACGGCCTTTAATATTTACAAAAATTTTATGGGACCCCCCATAAGTATTGCGTAAATCCAACACACGCGTGAGTGAAACTGTCATTTTTTTCACTTGTACTTTAATATACTATTGCAGTTTTAGGTCATTAACTTTAAATTCTAATTTTAAGACATAGAACAATGTGAAAATTTTAAGTAACTGACGAAATGGCAGCGTCAAGTGCAGAGCAAGGAAAATGAACGTTTATATTATAAAAAGAATACGTCGAAAAGTTTTCGTTTCATAATTTGTCTGTATTGTCTTATCGTTACCTATTTTCAAATACATTGTGTAAAAACATTTACCCTTTGCTTACTGCCCCACGAGACAGTATTAATTATTATAATTAATTAATTAGTAATTGTAATTGTAAAATTATTATAATAATTAAAGAAATATAAAATTGCGAAAATTTTAGGCGACCCCTGCTGCAGGTTTCGCTTTCCCCAAGAGGGTCGCGACCCGCATTTTAAGAAACCCTGTATTATATAATCCATCTGATCCATCTGAATAACTGATTTCTAACTGTTTGAAAAAAAAAATAGACTAATATTTTTTAAGCAGCATTTCGCATGATTCCATAATGTTCTCAACTTCTCGACGATTTAAAAAAATAAAAAAGAAATTTTTGTATTCAGATATCAAGTACGGTATCCAGTTTACAGAAAGTTATAGAAAATTTGCTTATTTTCATAATTTAAATATTTAAATAATTGATAGTTTATAATTTATAAATATGTATTTCTTACATTGTTTGCGATAAAATAGTTTTACTTTTCAAACAAAATGTTCTTCAATGAGATCAATATAAACTTACCCTGTAACAAACAGGACAGCAGCCACAGTAGTCCATATAGTACCCGCATTTGCAATTGTTAATGTATGGGCACAGGCGTCTGTCGCATGCTCCGCAGTTTGATGTATAACATCCCGTTGCAGAAGAAACCCTGTAAGTCGAAATGTGTACTGTCACTTTAGGGCTATAATATGTTTTTTATTTATTCAAAACGTTGTTGCTGAGAACACGAAATTTTAGTGATATATTCGAGGTTGTATTAAAACTTCTATGTACTATTTAGTTTTTAAAAAAATTATCTAGATCAACGCTTGTTAAAATTTTTCATTCATAACCTCTTTTTGTCATCGAGATTTTTCTCGCAGCTCCAGATATTAAGTATAAAAGATGTAAAAACAATAGATATTTTCCCATAAGTAAGTTATATCTTTGGTAAACATTATGCATATGAAAAGTAGAAATATTTGTTTCAGGTATTAAAAATTAATGATATAAAATTACGTGTTAATAAGACGCGTGTTTTTTTTTTTTTTTTCATAAAAAATTAAATTTCGGTGGGATATTTGACGTTTGAGCGTTGAATGATATTTGGGTTTAATAAGGGTTAAAGCTGAAAAGTCGTTCACAATTGTGAACGCCATATTCGTGGGATTACGTTATTCAAAAATTGATGACTCTAAGTACCGTTGTTTTATCTCAGTCGGAAAAACGTATATGCATTTATGCAGATGCTTCATTATTTAATTTCTTTAAATATAATACAGGGCTGTAATTTTTGGTGGCAACAGTTTGAAAAGTGAATCAACACAAAATGCCAAAACGAAATTAATAGACCTTTTGGACTAACGGCCTTTGAGCTAATAACTACTGTCATAATAATTATTTAAATAAATATTAAAAAATGCGTGACATATCAAATAAAACAGTAAAATGTAATATTCTGCCAAATACTGGCAAAAATTTGCATATCTCGCACAAGTAGCGGTAACAGCCATCAATGAAACCCGGAGATTGTAGCTGTAGCAGCGCAATACAGATTTGAGTAGAGTTTGGATTTGAGGAGGCCATAGCGGAGTAGATGGATTGCAAGTATCATCAGAGAGACTGTGCTCTTCCGAGGAGCCAGCCTCGGTCAAGTCCAGTAGCTTTGTGGTTTCTACCAAAGAGGAGAGGTCAAGTCTGAGTAGCCGAGTGGATTCTATAAGAATATGGCCTTGTCCCAGAGAAACTGAGGGGACTTTACAAAGAAGTTGAAAGACAGTGGCCTTATTTCCAGTTTCTGAGTGGAAGATACCTGAGAGAAACTGTGTGTTAATACTCAGGTGTCCAACATTACCGAAGGCGTTGTTCTGGTTAACGTTCCTGTGTTGGGTTAAGTTTCTTCAAGTTGGTTTAAAAAATAAATTATGTTTTTATTGGAGCCTTTTTGTGTTTTCTACGAAGTTATACTTCGAAGTCAAGATAACCAAGCGTTTTCAAAAATTAAAGTAAGATTCAAGTTCCTAAAAGTTAATAATTTTGTATTGTTCTTACGATGTGCGTACTTGTTGCGATGTTACAGAACAACTGAACTATACTGAAAACGCTTTATCACCACAGTAGTCCCAGCAGCCCCAACCTTATTCTCGACACGCCTGTGTAGCGCAGGACATTACATACTGTGCATTTGCGGCGTATTTTGATTCTGAAATAATTTGTATACTGAAATCATAAAGCAGTCGCTTTTATAATGCGTTTAGTAGTTCTTTTAATGTGTAATATAATTTACAGCTTAAGTTGGCCAACAGTACTATTTTATAACTGTATTGTGCAGAAAATGTAAAATATTAAATTTAAGACAATGAAGAGATTGCGACTAATGTTTCGTCATAATAATTCATGTATCTCATTAATCATGTATTTAATTAATTATTCATGTATCTGAATTGATATTTTTTTTACCCCCAACATTTCGCTTTACGACTTCATTTTGAGTCTTGACCCACAGTTTAAGAAAGGCTGATTTAGATCAACGTAGTTCAGTTCTTCTTTCATATTTAAGAAGCGCTGATGCACATTGTATATCCAGAAAGTAAAATCTGTTTGGTAATAAACAATGAACGAAAGAAGTTAATTGAACAACTCCTTTTTTATTATTAAAGTATTACTTTTCATGATTATTCCAGACAGGCAGCCATGACGCCGACGGTTCTGTCATGCTCAAAGGGGAAAAAAATGTAGATCCTCTTTATAAACTTCTTTCGCGAAACCACTGAGAAATGCAATTATTAATGAGTTCAGTCCATTGAAAATGTCAGTTAGCTTGCTGAAGCTCTTCTTCGTCAACGAAATGCTTTCAACATTAAAACTTCTTTGATTTTGTGAAAAGATTTTAAGGACTGTAGGCTTTGTGGTTTTAAATTTCCCACTGAAATTTCTGAAAACATTATTTTTAGATGGGATGATTACGAGCAGACGTCGTTCTAGCCGCATGGCATCACATCAGAATGAGACACAAACAAGAAAAATGGAAGATAAACGGGAAAAAAGATGGTAAGTTTGTTTGTGGAAAGCCCTTACTGACAAATAAGATTTCTCTCTAGCAAATAATAATTGCCTTTCTCAGTAGACAAGCAGCAGAAGCGTTTGATGAATACAAAAATTTCTATTCTGGTACAACAACTGCTCCAGTATAATGGGTGTTTCTGGAGAACATTTATTAAAAAAATATTTGCTTTTAAAACGAAAAGGTTTCGTCCTATAAATTTCTTTCATTTTATTATTCTAATTACTATCATCGTCATCATCAAATAAATATTACTTTCTAATGGAAAGTCTTGTGTAACTACCCCATAGAGCACGTATTTTTTATATGGTAATATAGCGAATAGTTAGTTTTGTAGTAAAGTGCGACTTTTCGTTTTTCTTCTATCTGCCTTCCTTTTGTGCTGAACTCGGCACATCATCATGATATTAGATTTACGAAATGAAGCTTTTATTTCCTTTAAAACTAACTTCGTCATCTTCTGAGGTTTTATACGTTTCAATGACACGGCAAGAAAATAATTCATTTAAATAATCACCAATAGGAAAATGTAGAAAGGTGCGAAAAAGATTATTAGTGTAATTAAACTACTGCACTTCAGAGATTTGAAGTTTTGTCTGTGTATAAGCATCTTAAGAAAGAGAATTTTAAATAAATAAATAAAAATTACTAATAAACTTCTCAACTTAATTGCACTTTACATTTCTCTGTTCACGACCTAGAAAGCTTGAGATTCTGCTTAAGAAGTTTTCATATTTAAAAATTTTTATTTCGGATTATATTTTAAAGACAAATTCTATTATTATTTTAGTTAATGTTCAAGTTCAGAAGTATAAAGTTTGTCTACTTCTGATAAATATAAATCACATTATTTTTTTTCATCATAGTCCACATTGAAATTCTTTTAATTTGAATTATTTATAGGTATTTGCTTTCTAAGTGTTAACATAGAAATCAAAATTACACATTGTTCATGTGAATAATTAAATAATTCTGTCATATTCTAAATTTCTTACTCAGTTTCCATGGAAAAATTACCATGAATCATTGTTAGTTGAAATGGAATGATTATTTGGCAATTTAATAGAGTTATAGATTTAAATTTGATGAAGCTTAAAGAATGACTGTTATATTTAATGCACTATTCCGGTAACATTTAGATATAATGCATTTCACTCCAAATAGAGATCAGTTATGTGTAAATGAAATTAGCAATATTTTAGTTTCATTATTTGTATTTTAAGACTTTACAGCTGTCTGCGGTCTCTGCAGTAAATTAATTTTCATTTGCCTCAATTTTTCTTCAATATTTTGAAGTTCTAGTAGTTGAATATATACTTCTATTTTCTAGGATCAAGTATGTCTGCAACAGCTTAACCATTTTCCAGTTTATAGGATGGGGCAGAAAACCTAACAGTTTTAAAAAGGAAATGTCATAACAAATATAAAGAACCCATTGGTATGCATTTTATAATTTTACATTTAAATGTATGCCATTATGCGGGGAATAAATATAAAAAATACGCTTATATTAAGTTCTGAAAAATGACATTTTTCAACTATCATCCTGTTTGGTCCATACACTACTGAAGTCGATCAGCAAAACTTCGTATAATGTGTCAATATTTCTCTTGATGTGGAAACTACCTCACGTTGAAGGACGGCCTCTAGTTAAGGTAAAGAGGTTATCACACATGGCTATAGTCCCTGCTAGACGGGACTTTTCTGAGAAATGAGATTCTGGTACCACTGGTTTAAAAGGGAGTATTCCTAGAAAAAAGAGCCCCGCCTGAAGCGAAGTCCCGCCTAGTTACGGAAGCAATGTTGCGGCTACGCGGGATTTTTTCAAACCTCACCGAAAATGTCTCGGGTCCGGGTAGGACAACCATTCAGACGAAGTTCTGCTTCTGAAGATAACGATCCCGATTTGCGGCGATATCGATTTGTTGGCGTTTAAGTCTTTGTAGAATGAGAATGGTACTAGCTACGTGGGCTTCCTGGAATTGTGCGGGTTCTTAGAATTGTCCCTTTCGACGTCAAGTCCCGCGTAGCCGAAACATAATGTGATGGTCTGTTGACGTACATTCTTGATTTTAAGCAACTGAATGCGAATGTTCCAGGAACAGTAATAGAAATGTTCCAGGAACATCCTCCTTAACGCATCTGTCAAATCTCTCATCATGTGCGTAATTGCCCCATCCTGTTGATACTACAAGTTGATTCAGTCTGTGCGCCTTCTCTGAAGTTCTGAAACATTGCGGTGTGCATTCACTGTTACTCCCTCAACATTTTTCTCAAAGAAACCCCGTCCAATGACCCCAAAATTTGACATTCTACACTATTATTATGAGTATAATGGACGCTCATGAAGTTTTACGAAGTTTTGATCAGTGTGTGGACAGAGGAGAATGACATTTGTAACATGTCATTTTGAGAACTGAATATTAACATAATATATATAGATTCAATAACGGCATATGTTTAAATGCAAAGCTACAACTTGAACAAAAGTGAGTTTTTGTATTTACTGCATTATTTCATTGCAAAAACCAACAAACTTTCTGCAACATCCCGTATAAAACACGATTGATTTTCCGAGAAGGAAAATTATGATTTAAATCTCAAAA